GAGACCCAGAGCTGGCTCCAAGGGGCTGGGAAGGAAGGGGAGTCGGGGGCGTGTGGGCCCTGCTGCCTCCCTCCCTGTCTCCGTGGCAGGATCTGGAGGGGAGGCTGGCAGGAGGCCCGACGCGGACGCTCCCGCCCCCCACCCGGGCCAGAGGACAACATCCTGTCCCTGGCAGGGGCTGCAGCTCCACACACAACCGGCCCCAGACAGCACGGCCAGGCAGGGACATCATGAGACAGCCTGCCCCCTACCTGCCCCCTGGAGCTGCCTGGCCAGGGCAGGTCCCCACAAGCCCTCAGCCCCGCCCCAGGGCCTCGCTCACCTGGAGACGTACTGCCGCACACAGTCGAAGCTGGCCTGGGGCTTGTCCTTGCTGTAGCGGGACAGGTAGAAGGTGAAGAGGCGAGCGCCCGTCCCAGGGCTGCCGGGGATCTTGATGTACTGTGGAGAGAGCCAGGGCTTGGGCGCCGCCCTGCCGCACACACGCCGGGCTCCCCAGGCAGGGAGACTGGGGGCTCCCCAGACCCCATGTTTACACACAAAGGGTCCCAGCAGTGCCCCATCTAATTGGCACAGCACTTCCCAGGGGCTGCAGGCTGCTTTTAGCAGCAGCTCTCCGGGGCAGCTCACGGGCAGAGCGTTAACCCCTGCGGCGCTGGGGCATAGCAAGTGGAGGATCAGAAGAGGTGGGTCTGGTGTCCCGGGCAGGAGGGGCTCTGTGCCCCAGCTCAGGTGGGGAGTTACGAGGCAGGCGTGCCCCCAGCCCCCAGCTTTGGGGGGTACATGGGCAGGCATCCCAGCCTGGTGGGGCCAGCTCTCCTTGTGCTCATCCCAGCTGGCCCCACACCGGGGGCTGTTACTGTGTTTGCTCAGCGAGGCCGGAGGGACCCTCCTGTGAGCTGCGGTAGCAGCTTCCCCAGGAATCCCCTGCAGAGCTAGTTAGCAAGGACACAGCTGAGGTGCTGCGCCCTGGAGCCAGAGGGAAGGAAGCAAATCCCCGACCCCAGAGCCCCCAGAAAACAGCAGGGGAGAGACTCGGCCAGGCCAGACCCTGCAGCGCCCCAAGCTGCGGCACCCCCCGACCTCTAGGGCTGCACCCTGACCCAACCCCCCAGTGCCCGGCCAGGCCAGACCCTGCAGCGCCCCAAGCTGCGGCACCCCCCGACCTCTAGGGCTGCACCCTGACCCAACCCCGCAGTGCCCGGATCTGCCAAGCCCCCCCCACCTCCAGGG